GCGTTAGCAGAGGGGTATAAGGAAAGTTAAGAGCTGCTATAAGAATGTAAATAATTTGAGATTAAAACCACAACTCCATTCCAATTAGCTTGAATTTTCCATTTCAAAGAGCATACTAAAGACCCAGCATTACAAGTTAAAGCTCCATTTGTTCTTTCTTTTTGAATTTCATGGGCAGCTTCTATTGCAGTTTCACACTACGAACACGGACGTTTTAAAAGCGGTTTTGTGTTTCTTTCTTTCACTTTTGCTTTGATTCAGAATATGTTTTACGTCACTGCATTTTTATTTACAGGATAGGTGGTTTTAATTAAAAAAAGGGCATTTGTCCTGGGCCGCTATTAGCCCATAATAATGGATCTTTACTGCAGGGCTACATAAATATAATTATTGCTTTACAGATACAAGAGCCCATTTTGATCAAGATGCGAAATCCTGTATTATGAATAATAAAATCCTCCCTGATTCCAACAAAGAATCTTCAGCTGTTCTGATAAAACTTGACCTGTTCTCCAGTAATAAGATACATTCACTGGCCCCAACATATGTTCAGGTTTCTCTGTTTTTTTTTTAAATTATAGGACATTTTTGTTTCTGAATTTGTATTGTCATAATGAGAAAGTTTAAACTATTGGAATGCAAACCATATATTTTGTCTGGGCACTTTGTTAGGACTAGTGGCTAATGGTATGTTGGATTATTTTTGGCTCTAAGGTATTGGAAAGTGCCTAAGAAACAGTGAAAAGTTTTACTATACAATTGCCCTTGAGGCAGTCACAGCTACTATACATAACTACTTGTTTACATATGGCAGTAGTAACACCTTCCATGTAATAATTCTATAGAAACTGACAATAAAGTACCTTTATAAGGACCTGTGTGGGCAAACTTTGGATTTGAGTTTGACATCAGTCCTAGACACCTCTGATTTCACTCAAAATGTATTGACAGGTGCATTTGACCTGCAATTGACCCCTTTCTGACCTGCATACACTGTATGGGAATGCCAAACCCATTTGAAGTTAACAAAGTTATTAACACAGGCACTTGGAGGGATTGCAGGTGGTCACATCATCACTGTCTCTGTCTCCCGCAGTGCTCATAGATGAGGCCGTGGGTAAAGGGAAGCAGTGCTGGAACACTGATTCCAGTATCTACTACATATAGCGGCCAGTGGTTACTGTCATTTAGTAAAAAGTAGGGCAAGGGTGTCGGTGATACTGCTGGGTATGCAAATGGCCAGCCTCTTCTTCCACGGTGATAACACTGAGACACTGGAGGAAGCAGCTTCACCACTATATTAAGTAGTGTGCAGGCAGGCAAATGTGTTGAGTGACAATGATGACGATATTTCCATAGTCACCTTAAAGTGTTGTCGCTCAAAGCAGAAGGTTGCCTGTGACTGCTATTAATTACAACATTACCAGGTATGACACTAGAAAAATAATTATTGGGAAATAGCTCATTAAAAGACAACCTTCAATGTGAGATTAAACAATTTTAATTTTTGACTAGACATACTTTAATTTCTGAATGGATTCAGTAAGAGATGTATGGTGACAAAGGCATCTTTTTAGTTTATCCTACAGATGCCA